GATAAAATGGTTGATTACAAGATAGCTATGAGAAAGATAGTTTTTACTAAAGGAATAAGGTGATGATATAAAGAATAAAGATGGGAACGGATGTGTATTACAANNTTAATCATTAGATTAGAATTAATTTGGCTTATAAGACAGGAAGTGTTTAGGTGACATATCAGATTAGCATGGGAATTCGTTGACACATTACAATTTATGAATCATTAAGGAATTTGATTTATAATTGTAAGAAATAAATGATTAACATGATTAGCTAAAATATAAATAATTTTCGGGTTTCCGATAGTGATCATTATTCACCACTGTTTTTAAACAAGCTTTATCAGTACAAAAAATACGTGCAGTAAAGCGTGCTAAAGATCTTAAATATCTGAGTAGTTCATATCAAATGACAGTTGACACTACTAAATGTAGTGAATTTTGCGATTTTTTTAAACTCCTTTTTTTAAAAATTTTCCGTTTTCAGGTTTGGTGGTTTTATCAAACAATGGCTTCCGTTCACAATGATTACTATGTTTATTATTGTGATTGTTATCATTACAAAAGGTTAAGAGTGTTATAATGCGGGCGATGATTTTTTTAGTATTTTATCCTATTTGAGTATGGCTATTCTTATTTATTTATGAAGCAGGTAAAAACGCGATCTTTATAGCGATCAGAGTGCGGAATTCATCTGGCTGATGAAGGGAACTGAAGACCCTATTTGAAAGATATCTACGATCTTCCATCAAATCATTTTAAATTCATTTAGTGATATTGCTGTTTGTAGTATTCGTGCTTGAATACATGACTTGTATAAAAAGTTTATAGGACAACTGATTTTATGGTTTGGTTACGCTTTTTTTCCAAATGCATTCGATATTTTCCTATTTTGTTTACATATCGTTTTATTATTTTTGACTAATGAATCGATAGTGTCGGTTAAATGAGGAGATTTGTAAAGATCTTATTAATTTTTGTTTTTTCTTCTCGTAACTATATCCCATTATATGTACTCATTTTTAGTATAATTGATTGTTTAATCAGTAGTGTTTATCAGTTGCCGTTTAATAAAGGAGGTATTAGGGGTATGAATGACATTAGAGGTTCTAAGGTCACGGATGACATTTTTAGACCGGGGTAGTCGACGTGATTATGAAGGTTTTACACACAAATGTTTTAAATTGTATCACTTAAATGAGTACCACAAAGATCGAGAGTCATAGAACATGAAAGACATTAGATTGAAAGATAGCTGTTCAAAATGTGTGATGTAGATTGATTAAATGATTTATGCTATCATATTCTGATCATATTTCTTTTGTACATGAATAAAATTTTGTCACAAAAGTTTGTTTCAAGGAAGATTTGTTGAATATCTGATGATGTATTTTTGCTTGATTTTTAAATGGATCACTTTTCAATTTTCAGTTTTTTATTTGTTCTGATCGCTATATACTCCAAAAAGAGCATATAACGATAATCTTAACAGTAAGCAGTGATCATCATTGGTAAGACAGTGCTATAATGAGTTTGGATATATTCATAATTTCAACGGTATCCAATAAACGTTCCGCTTAATATCGAATGATATTAGTAAGAATGAAAAGATATGCTAAATTAATAGTGCACTGGCATTAAGAATGATTGTCATAACAGGCTGCATTGGAAGCCAATAGTTCTGGAAGTCGGGAGAGTTAATTTTTTAGTAGTTAATCGGGGAAGTTGTTCAGAATTGATGAATTTCATAGGATATCAGACATTTTTTTTAGAATCTTATTGAATCCGAAAGTACTGTTCTTCATTAGAACCGAAAAAGTTAATGCTCTTCATATGTGTTGTTCTGCATTAGTGTTTTTTTTTTGCTTCAGTAATAAAAGTGTTATATAACGTTTCAATTATTATTTTTCTGATTATTACACAACCAGTATATAATTTTTTTTTCAGTTTTATCGTTGAAATGGTTCGTTTGACGGTTGAGTTGATTAATGACTCACTTCAATATCTTAATACTGTTCGTGATCGAGAGTTAAGCTTACGAGCCTGCAAAATTCCTGTGCTGGAAAATCTTGGTGTTACGAAGGTTAATTTTTCAAGATGATATCATTTTGCAAGTTTTTCATGTTTAATTTTGAAATAGCTTTGTCAATTGCCGTAAAATTTTTCCAATATCTTTTGATAATTATAACGACTGATCCATTCAGGCGCTTTTTCAGAAATTTATTGAAGTTTTATTGAATTTCTATAAATAAAATATGAAGAAAAGAGAAAGTGGAGCTGTCAAAGAATTTTTATCCAAGAATCTAAGATCAAATTTTTTGTTTTGACGATTCATTTTCATTTTTTCTTGGTTTTGATGTAGACAGGCAGAAGTCTCTTGGTACCATACATTTTTGGCATCTCAAATTGCGTTGATCAAGTATGCTTGCTATTTTTTTGTAATTTTATTGGAATTTTTCAGGATCAGTTCGATACGATTGATTTAACTGATAATGATATCAGGAAACTGGAGAATATTCCTTTGTTGAGACGACTTAGCACACTTCTTATGCACAATAATCGCGTACAGTAAGCGACTTTAAACAGATCTATTCAGAAAATCAAATTTAAATTAAATTTTTTTTTGATTCATTAGCTTATTTGAGTTAAATGATTGTTTTGGGACGTTCATTATACCATTTATCTTACAGGCAGATAATGCCGAACATTGGTGAAGCGTTGCCATCATTGAAGACTCTAGCGTTGACGAATAATAATTTATGTGAATTGGATGATATTGATCCTCTAGCGACTTGTCCAAAATTGGAATATCTAACGTGAGTTTTTCATTCTCATATTTCACATTAAAAAAAAAATCCGGATACCGATATCATTTCATCATGTCGATTTTTTGAAATACATGTCGATTTTTTTTCCAGATTGATTGGAAACCCAGTAACTCATAAACCACAATATCGTCTTTATGTAATATATAAAGTACCATCAGTGCGTGTCCTCGATTTTAAACGAGTTCGTCTTGCAGTAAGTTTATCTTCCATTCATTTTAGAAAATACATCTGATAATAGTAATGAAAATGTATTTATGTTATAGCGAGGAGATTTGATCATTCTGTGATGATGTGTAACTACTGGAGATATATGCCATATCAGAATATTTTTTCAGGAAAGAAAACAGGCAAACAGTTTCTTCAAGGGTAAAAAAGGTCAAAAATTCAGAGAGGAAGTTATGAGGAAGTCGAGAATTGTACCTGATGATGAAGAAGATGGACTAGCAAGAAATTTGCGTGCAGAGGATGCAAAGAAAATTGAGGCAAAATTTTCAATTTTCAAGGAATTTCCTAGAAGTTTTGACTCTTAAATACAAATTTTGAATTCTAGAAATATTTTGAAATAGAGATTTATTTGCAAATATATAACATAATATTGCGTGGAGCAGAAAAAATGCATTTTCTGTTTAGATTAGGGATTCTATAAATATTAACATGTTAAAACAATAAGAATAAGGTGTTGAAGTTTTGGGATATCAAATCATTTTTCAGAAGTTTGTTTTCAAATTTCAAATTTTTCTGAGTGATGAGGAGGAAATGTAATGAAGCAAACTTATAAAGATCTAAAATAGGAAATATGTTCTGGAAAAACTAATGCGAAATCCTGCATTTTTAGTAAATCAACTATAACTTCATATTTTCAAGGAAGCGATTGCATCTGCTTCAAGCCTTGCTGAAGTGGAACGATTGCAAGCAATTTTACAAAGTGGACGAATTCCGGAAAGCGGTTGGAACCGTGGAAGCATTGATAATGTAGCAGAAGAAGATACAAGGAGGAAGTGAGTTTATAAATAACTTGAGCTTTCTACTTTTGAAAAATATGTGATATCTTTTCTGCAAAATATAACTAACTTTCGTATTTTAAAAGTTGTGTTGTTTTCAGTGCAGAAGAGAGTAATGGATTTGTTGTGGAACAAGAAGATGAAGGTGACGATGTTCCTTCACCGCTAGCAAGTCCTACTGGTGATTTGGATAATGATGTACAGTCTCCAATATCAAATCCACCTGAGGAAGTAAAATTAATGATTAATTTAATTGTAAATTTTGGGAATATCTTAGAAGGCTATAGTATTTTTCAAAATCTAAGCGGTTTATGCTTTGTCTTCATTGTTTTTTTCTTTGGTACTTTCCCGATTAGATTATAGTATGATAAGTTTATTTGAACAGTACACGAAAGTAATTTAATTCCTGCATAATGGAAGGTTTTTATTTCGTTTTTTTTTTCCTGCAGAAAAAGTTGGATAATGGACAAATGGAGTACGTGGAAGAAAAATAAGAAACAGTTTTGGTCAAATTTTTGATAAGGGATTGAATGGCGAAGAAGGAAATTGAAAATTCAGGCACTTCTTTTCATATCAATGAGCCAAAGCTTGATATGTTGTCTACGTCATTTTTTATTGTTTCATTCTTTTTGATATAATATTTGCGCATAAAATTATCATATGCGGGCAGCGAAAATACAGATACTTCATCTTTTAATCCTATACCATTTTAGGATATTGTTTTGTTTTGATCATTCCGAAATAAAAATGTTGAGCGAAGTTTTCCATCATGTTTTCTTTTAAGGTCACATGCATCACAGATCAATGTAAACACGTTGATTGATTTATGCAAGTTGTAAATGCAGATATTTGAAAGCTCTGTCTCGAAATAATTCTCTTGAAATCAATAATACAAGAGGCAGTTATCAAATAGAATATTGTGGCATGATAGGAGATAGAAACTAAAAGTAGTATACCGTGGACTGTGTATATTACCCACAATACATTTTACGTTTCCTTCTTTTTATTTTAAAGCTAATATATAAGTGTTATTTATATTAATGCAAGAATTCTCCCATGAATTTGCATGAGACACGAATGTTCTGTCCTTCATTTACCAAATGTGTGTTTTATCCTTGGCTAATATTTTATCAAGGATATATATTTGATTAACATACTGTCCCTTTAGTTTACAATGAGATTGAATTTGAATGAAAATAATGGGAGTGAGATTCGGAGATTGCGAAAATGAAAGAAGAGGAAAATATTTGTTGTAGTTGAAATTTAAGTTGTTAGTTCATTGATAATCATAGCTGAATGGTGTTGCCTTGGTCATTTCCCATCAAGTGGTTTGCTAGTTCAGTTCCTATTATAGCAGCTTTGAACTGCGAACCGTCGATGATGATATTTACAAATAAGCTCAACAGGTATGAATGTGACATGCATGATATATATTCGAGACCTGAGACAGTTGTTCCGGATGGGTTAAGCATCTTTCTGGAAAAGCTGAATTTGCGAATTCATTAATTAGATGTAGGTCTAAATATTCGTTGGGGATTGCAAGATTTTACATAACTCGAATTCCCGAATAATTAGAAATTTCAAATGCTTTGGAAGTGTTAAACCATTTCGAAAGGAAAAAAAGAACAGATGGATTACGTAAGTTTGTCACTTATTCCACATATTAAATTCATATTTTATATTTACATATTTCAAATTATTCCTTTCAATAAAACACTTGTTCTAGAATATAAAAGTCATGAAATCTTGAATAAAAAAACCCTAAAAGTCAGATGATGTTTTGAATGCAATTAGGAAGAATTGTTTTTGAATATGATAATTCACGTTCGTTATTTTTTGCTTTTTTTGACTAAATAAAAGATATAATCACAGTTAATGCAAATCTCGACAATTATCACGATTATGATTGATATCATGCTTGCAAACGATGATTGTAAAAAAGATTCGTGTGTTATTTATTTCCGTATTTTTAGTTCCAAATTGATCTCTTGATATCTGAAAAAATTATCCAATCTTAGTTTATGGAACGTGCAATCTGACAAATATCGATTTGATGATGGCATTTTTATGTGTAAAATGGATTTCTCTTTTCCAATCTTTTTTTGAAAAGTTTGAATTTTAAAACCAGAATAATAAACATCTTGAAATTTTTGTGAAAGATTACCAGAATATGGGTAAACTGAAGGCAAATTAAGCATGCAAATTACGGCACTGATGAATATGTAAGTTTTGATGATCTACTGATATCTTCTGCAAGAAAAGATTGTAATACCGTACGAAACTTAATACTAATTATGAATATTATTAAATTAAAAGTGAACATGCAATTTTCCTCTATTTGTAATCAAAAATCAACGATTATTTGTGCAACACGATGTTTATTAGTTTCTTTTTTTTTTTTTTTAAATAAATCGTTCGTAATGTACTTTTCAAGAAATGGCATTACATAGAAAAGTGTCATTAATAATAGTGTAAAATGTCACGTTGTACCTTTTACTGCCTGTAATTTTAAAAGTTTAAAATTACGAGAAGTTTTATTTGAAATAATTTCCAACAAACATTTATGCGATTTTTTCAGATTAAAGTTTTATAAATTTAAGTTTCTAATCC